TTCCATGCGAAGACTTGCTTCCCATAGGAAGTGCAGAAAACTGGGTGCCGAATGCTGGCTTCTATGCGAATCATGGCCTCGCTGCCAACCCCTTGGGGCCCATGCCCCCCTGCCCCACACCCATCCGAAAAAAGCGGAGCACCGAGCAAGCAAGACTTCAGCGAATTTGGTTCCGAATATTAAGTTGGCTTGTATGAACTTGTATGCCTATGCGCTACTGCCTTGCTGTGCATTTTCAGAGAATTCTGTAGTTGCATGTCCGCCATGTCGTTAATATCGTTCATGATGTATTTGTTATACACTGCATGTAGCATGTAAAGGCTATGCTGCACGAAATGCTAGGTTAGATGCATAAAGCACTGAATACATTAACGACGGAATGACGTACTGGCTGACTGAGTGACTTGCTGAAGGTAGGCAGGTAGATGCATATACAGACTACTACCATTCAAGTCATCTGTGCGAGAAGATACATTCGGACATGCATGCAACGATACACACATGCACAGAGACACATGCATACATGCATGCAATGTGAGTGTAAGTCTGTTTCGGTGTGTGTGTTTGCGTGCACGTTTTCGTTTCTACATGCGCATTTACTACCATGTCTGTCTGTCTGTCTGTCTGTCTGTCTGTTTGTCTGTATGTATGTATGTATGTATGTATGTATGTATCTATGTATATACCAACATACGGATGACAGGTCTAGATATTTTTCTTCTATGTGTTGATTTCAGACCTAGTCCGGGGTGAATGCTGCATGCCAGATGTTTTTGTTAAGCGCCTTCTGAGCTTACTACGTCGATGCATATCCTTCTTGTTTTCATTATGATATTACACGTCACCCGTGATAGTACTGTGTACATGCTACCTGCCTGTGTCTTGCGCTTACGGCGCACCGAAACCATGTTCCGGTTACAGCGGCCCTGGCATCAAATCCATAGTCTCGCAAAACTGCAGGCTTGTAGAAAAGATGCCGTGCTTTGCGGAAAAACCTTGCTGGAAGACCCTTCGAGCTCTCGCGAAATGATCCAGAAAGAGCGAAGCTCTGTGCAGGCCTACAGGGCCCACAGGCGTAAGTGGTGCGGGGACTTCTGCTGCCCGCGGTTTGCCCGCGCTGGGGCCTCGATCTCGTGGTTAGTAAGAGGCTTCGATGGTTTGGTTATTTGGGAGTTCAAGATTTAGGGCCAGGGTTGAAAGACCTGACAACACACTTGAGGTGTGCTCTTATGTTGAGGCTTACGGATGTCACTGGCTGTGGTTGTGCAGCGCTTGAGGTGTATATGGTGGGAGGGCAAAGATCGTGAATGCGTGGTAGTTGAACTTCATGCTGATCTGGCGGTTTTTTTGTTGTCAAGTGCTCGTTCTGTAACTTTGGGTCTTTCCTGCCGTGTGAGCGACGTGGGTTCGGAGCTCCATCCGTCGAGTTCATTGACGGCGATGTTGCTGTTGGTGGTGTCCCAGATTCCAACTTGACCATATCGCACTTCGCTCGACACTGCCTGAAGAAAAAAGCGCGAAAGACACCTCGACGAATCCCATGTACGCACGCATATAGACTGATTACTTTTGTCGCTTTATTTCAGTGTTGGTGGTGATGGTCCATTCCAATCAGACGGCCATCCCGAAGCGTCGTACCACGATACCTACCTCTAGTTGCCAGACCGTATACACGCAAACATACTCGAAACCTTAAGCCCTCTTGCCTACCTTAAGCCTTAAACCCGATAAATCCCGAGCCTAGCAAAAACCTGTACCCCTCGACTCCAAGTCGGAGATCTTGAGAAACAGGACTGGCAGTAGGGAGCCTTCCGGCGCCTCGGGGGCTGCGGGCCGGACGCCCCTTGGCGAAGTGGAGTTTAGCGTTTAAGGTTTAGGGTTTGGGTTGACCTTATTATAGTAGTAGTCGGGAAGGGTTGCAGCGATCTGATAGTAGGCCCCTTACAGGCAGGGAAGTGCAAGCAGCAAAAACATGCCTCTTTCGGCAAGACAAGGTTTGGCTCGAGTTTGCAACAGACCATCAGACTCGGAGTGACGTGAGCCTCCCGTGCTTTTTGCAAGGTCTATCTAGCTCAGCAGCGCCTCCAAGTTCCACACCCTAAAGTCCTAAAGTAGGAAAGTACATCTTGACAGCAAATTCCGACCTGCAACGAGTATAGAAGTAAATCCGAATAAGGCCGGCCCCCGGTCCTATGGCTCACAGAAGCAGAACCAATGCAGTGTCGTAGCTAGTTTCAGATTCTTCAGGCAGCTAGACCGTTGAAGCCAAGCAACGGACCTTCAAGGATTCAGGGGTCAGCCCACGCCAGCTCCATATCCTAGCTCTCTCACCCGACGGGCCTGAAGCCAAGGACGCTGGGGACCAAAGTTGTACCTGCGCGTCCGAGGACGCTTAGACCGCATGGGTCGCAGGTCGAAATCCCAGAGAAGCCCAGCATAACTTTCCCTATGTCATGCCTTGTGCGAGGTAGTAGTGACAGATGTTTACGCTGTATACACTAACCGCTATCCTGGCCCTTCAAGCCGTGAACTTGGAAGAACTCGCTTCGGATTTAAATTTAGGATGTCTTTTGAGGCGTTGCGAGTCAAACAGGTTTGGCTTGGGGTGACGTATAAGCCTCCAAAGCCCAAAGACACCAACGCCGCGAGTGTCCAACAGCTCTGAACCTAAACCCCTGAACCCTAACAGCACCCAAAATCCAACAACTCTAAAATTCAAACCCTACAGGCCCAATGTCCGGTCAGAGCCAGAGCTTGCGCTGACAGGATATGCATGCTGCTAGCGCAGTAAGCCCTCAGACGTAAGGGTTTAGGGCGAGAGCGAAAACGAGTTTACGGGCAAGTTTAGGGCATGGGCCTGATGAATTCAATGCTAATCACAGACGTTCGGTAAACGAGTCATGAAAACACCACTCTGCTTTCGGTCATGTGGTGTCTTGAAGGCTTTGCTGTTGACATCTGTCAAGCTGGCAGATCAAGATCAGAACCGCCTCCGCCATTCCACCCAAGCGGCGGGTTCGCATTGGCGATGGCTATGAGATGGAGGTCGTGCGAGAATGCTTCTCCGATCTGCATAGTCGCAGGCCTCGCCTTCTCCTGACAAGACAGGGCGAGGACTGTGACCTCAAAGTGATCTACGAGGAGTTCTGGATGATTTGCGATCTGGCGGGTTCACGCACCTCCACCTGGAAGCACACGGCGTCGCGACGCAAAAGTTCTGGACACGGGAACGGAACGTGGCGGCGAACCTGGACTTCATGGTGTGGGGTATACCGAAGAATTCGTGGTGTCGATCACAACCTCGTGGATTTCTGTGCTTCACCCAAGATGGAGCGCCTTCTTTGGCAAGCTTCGCAATCTAGATGGGTACCCAGAGGCCGCAACATCGCGGAAGAAACTCGGTGCACGGTCGCGTTCAGCGGTTGCCAGCTGAGCCCAATGTCTGCCCTTTCGACTATCTGCAATGTGGAGCGGACGATGGATTCGGCATGCTGCTCGAACTTCTTCAAGAAACGGAAAAGGCTTCAATCATCCGAACTGCTGCATACCTGCGTAATCTTCAACAGGCTGCCCAGGCCGACAGTCTGAGTAATGCGACATGGTTGATATTTAAAGCTGTTGCTAGAACACCTAAATGGCCGTCTGCCACACTTGGAGATCGGTGTTTCTTTGCTTAGTTGGGGGGGCCACTTTCATAGCCAGGTAAGTGCCTTACTGATATATGTGCCGGCAGGGCTGAACATCTGAAACTTGAAAGCTTGAATTTAAGAGCTAGTTTTTCGTCTGGGGCCCGCAACTCCAAGGGCTGATAAACCTCCTGCGATGTCACATTCCTTCCGGGAGCTTGGGGTTTAGACGGGGAGAATCAGGTTTGCGATTCTTACCGAGGTGATGGGATCAAAGACGTCAACCAATCACGAAGGACGACTCTTGCAACATCTTTGGGCCCTCGAACATCGACTCCTTGCAGAAGGACCGCTGTGTTTTCAACCTGGCAAAAAGTTTTCATGAACTCGCAGCAATGAGAACAGCGAAGGCGCTAAGTGGTTCAAACCGTTGGGGAGTGACAACCATTGACATGCAAATGCACCCACTCTGCGACATCCCCCTGGAGTCAAGTCACGTTGCAGGATCATGTGCATGGCAATTTGCCACGAAAATGGTTACAGCTGCTAGACGCAAAAAAGCACAGCAGGTTTCGAGACTCCACAAGAAGCCAAGCCTAAACCCGTTAGTGTGGGGCCCGAGGAATTGCAGAAAGTGTGTGTGTCTCTCAGACCCTGGCGAGTGTTTGCCGCGTCACTGACACAATCCCACCAATGCAAAGGACTCACATAACTTCGCCTTGAACAATGGTGGCCTGGTCGCACTTGGATGCGCGTCAGTGCTGTGAAAGGGTTGTAAGTACACTTGTAAGCAGTGCGGGGCCTTGTGTTTGGTTATGACAGAGTCAGTCTGTCATGCCTGAAAAGCACAGTATCCGTGGGAGGCTATATCGGGTCGGCCACGGCGTGGTATTCTTGAAAATGGCACAGCCGTTAGCGATGCTTACGAGCCGACGGGCACTTTTGAGATGCTGTACAGTTACACAAAAAGCAGTGATGCTCTTCGGAGACAGGCGGCCGCAAGATCAGAGCACAGGCGGCTTTTGCGGACGAATGGAGCGATTCCGTCGTCATTCAAGTTGCCGGTGCATACTTACACTTTACCGCTGCTTTGTCGCTCTTTTGGTCATATAGTGCCTTGAGGGCTTTGCTGCTGACATCCGTCAAGCTGTCAGATCAAGATCAGAGCCAGAGCTTGCGCTGAAACGATCTTACACTTTGCAACTGCTGCTGCACCGAACCCTACGAGTCTGCCAGTCCACAAAAGTTAAAGTTTAGGCTAATCAGGGAGTTAGGTGAAAAAACCGTGAAAATGCCACATGGTGTCTTGACGGCTTTGCTGTTGTCTTGCTTCATACTTTCACCTTCCCGGAACAGCTGAAAAAACCTTTCCGGATGTTGCAAATCTTCGGCCAGTACCACAGCAGCCCTTGCTTCAGGCTCGGAAGTGTCCGCAGCCCTTCCTGTGAAGTCCGGGCGTTGGACTATATGATGCGAGGCAAAACCTCAAGGATGTGGGCCAAGCACAATCGTGTCATTTTGAATGCCCGACAGAGCTTAGAGAAGGCACCTGCGCAGTGTGGAGGAATGGGGAGCCCTCATCCTCCTCCGGCTTCATCCTCCTCCACGCCTGCGCCTACGTATGATGACGCCACTACAGCCATGTCAAAGCCCCAAGCGCATGGTTGTCATTATTGGAAGTGCGATCGCCTCCGTGACATCAGCGATGATCTGCTCACCGCTTTGGTCCGGGCAGTCCGCGAACATGGAGTGATCGTGATCCCAGACCAATCCCGGAGCCTCGAGGAGCAAGAGTGCTTATGAGGAAGTCACCGTTACTGTGGCGGGCCAGCCTGATTGTTTTGAGGTTCACCCAGGATTGCTCGGTTGTCTAACTTCCGTGCCGACGGCACCAAAGGATCTGGGGGCTAAGGTGCGGCACCAACACGGTGACGACATCAGGATGTCGGAGCGGCGCATCTTCGCCATCTTTGTACGGACAAGATTCTTCATGCCGGCCAGAAAAATGACGCGAGACTTCACCACAGAAGATGCTGAGAGATATCCCGACCAGCGTGCCCTCGTGTTTCATGGACACCCCTGACGGGTGAAAGCTCCTTCTGACGGGCTCGAAACTCGAACCTGTCACTCTTCGAGGGTCCGTAGCGTCAGCTAGACGCTCCAGTCCGCTTCAGTCAACCACGTCCTGTCTCCGCAGTGAACGTACTTCCATCGCAAGCCGAGCTGTGTGATCATGTGGGACAACTTGCAAACCCTTCTTCGACCCTACGAGAGTCGAAACCAAGTCTTTTAGTCCAGGTTTTACTTGTACCGCGCGCACTGGGAGGGAGCAAGCGGACTCCTCCATGTGCTTTGGCTTAGGGACAGGAAGGTCTGGTACTTCTTTATTTTTCCTCCTTCAATTTATAAGAATAAGAGAAGTTTTTTCGGATCATGGCAGCCCGAGGGCGGCTTTGCAAGTGGACTCCACATTCGAGGAATGAGGGACGGAGTCCGCTGAAAGGCCGCCTCGTTGCCCTGGCCAGCCTGAGCCATCAGCACTGAAGCCACGGGCCCTACAATCTTAAATTCGTGGTAGCTGGGAGTGCTCACGTTCCTGCCCCCAAACATCATTGCGGCAGGGGCCTCGTTATCTTGAAAGGGCCGTTATCCACAAGAACCGAAGGCGTGTTAAACCCTGTAAGGCCCAGCTTTATCGAACCTCCCAAACCCAAAGCTAAACAAGCGCCCCAACACCAAAAACGTTGTCGTGTTTATTTTGGGATTTGCAGCCTCGCCAGGAGCGCCCACGACAAGCCAAGCGACCCCACTCCCACGGGCACGTCCGTCTTGGCGGAGGCTTTGCTGTAGGAGAGCATCGAGGGTCCAAGGTTTATGGCTCAGGGTGATTCAGGGTGCCTATGCTTCGAAAGGCTTAGGGTAAGGTTTAGGGATGAAGGGCTGCAAGTGTTGGCGGGGCAGGTTGGTAGTATGACTGAGGGTCGTGGAGAATGTGAGGTCGAAACTGAAACCATCAACGGCCCCCACACTCTAAAGCTTTCAGTAGCATCGGTTGATATGGTGGGCATGTTGTCATGGGTTGTCTTCAGAGCGTGGCAGACGTTCTAATTCGAGACGTGCGAGCACGAAGTGTCAATTTCCATGGCGAGGAAAACTTGCGGACTCGAAGTTGCGAATATCGCACCTGCATGTCTTTTAGATGAAATCGTGTCATTCGTAACTAAGTTCCACATAGACAAGACATGATTAAACGTGACACCCCGTCAATATGTCATTCGTAATTATCGTAATTAAGCACTAAAGTTTCAATGCTTTTATCACAGTTCGCGAATAAATAGAAAACTTCCAGTAAACCTAGTACCCTTCAATATCCCCATCATGTCTCGAATTTCCCATATTCCGATCAGCTCCATCAACTTTGCAGTATGAAGGTTCGATTGCAATCAGGCATGGAACCGAAAACTCCTGGCGCCGCACAAGACCCAACCGACGACAACGGTAACCACAGACAACACAGAAGCAACACGGTTCGCTTTTGCGCAGTTTTGCACAACAACATCGAAAAGCAACATTGGCGAATGCTAAGACGAGACAAGAAGACATGCAACAACCAACCACGAACCAAAACAACAACAGCAGCAAACATAGTTAACATCGACACAAACACCCACGGCAACAACATCAACCAGAGCAGCAGCAGCAGCAGCAGCAACACGAACACTGACAGCAAAATGCAACGAGTGCGACGAAAACGGCCGCAACAGCAGCGATTGATTGCCTTGATGACGACAGCGAAGTCAAGGAGCTGCGAAGCCTAGGGAAAACCGAACCCAGTCTAAGTACCTGCAAGCGTTGTGATACTTGCCATGTAGACGTTGTGGAGCCCCGGGTTCTAGAAGTGCCCTGCTGCCGCAGCTCCCGAGCGACGTACGCCGGGCCGAGACACCAAATCCCGACATCACGAATCCCGTGGCCGGAGACCTGGAGTTTGTTTTCGAGCCTGTGACGTCACGATTTCGTGGTCGGAATAGATCCAAACTCCGAATTCGGGCAATGGCCCCTGGTTTGGAACTACCAAGAGCTCAGAGTTCTGAACGTACAGTTTGGGTGCCTGCATTCGTCATTTGCATATCAAGTCGGGCCCTAAGCTATGCCTACAGGTCAAATCAAATGTGGCGAGTTGCGACTGTAATTTGCTGCAGCTGCGCCGTGTGGTGTACAATCGACTGATTGTCATAATCTCACCCAGATGCCTGGGGGTGCTTGCGTAAGTATTTCTAGGCTTTTGCACTGCAGTGTCAATGTTGGGTTCCATGCCACGAAACAATGACTCAGCGTCGAGCAAAATCGCACCAGAGCCCCAGGTTGGATTGAAACCACCCTGGAAGCTTCAAGCTTGAACACAAAACCCTGGAACCAAAGCCACTAGCCAGAAGCCGTGGAAGCTTGCACCTAAGACCCAACACCACTGTGATCTTAATCCTTCTGCTTCTGGGCTGATTCCTGAAGCCTGGCGGCAAGCTGCTGAGTCGTCTGCCTTCAGGTGGAAGATGCAGGTGGGAGCACTTCTTCAAGAAGCGGTCGGCCTGTCTGTCGCTACGGCGAGGTGCGTGGTTTAGAGAGGCGTCGGGTATTCGTTTCGGATGTCATAACGGAGGCATGCTCTCATGTTGAATTCTTGGCATGAGCCGTGGTCTTACGGACGGCTATGCTTATTTACCGCTTTACCCTCGGAAGCTTTACTGCTAAGATGCACTGTTTAAGGCTCACTCTAGCCAAACTACCTTCAATTTCTTCGCAACGATTTCTACAATCTGGGTTCCTTTCGAGGATCGGTGTTGGCGGCTACTTCTATCCGTCCTCAATGCTACGCATGCGGGCAAGACGTTAAATTACAGCGGCAAGAGGGTTCAGCCTACGAGGGCCTGTACTGGCGTTGGATGTACAGCGGAATCTAATCAGGTAGTGCTGGACACCTACATAGCATGACAGCCAGTTGGGTATTCCTATGTCATGGCGCACATTGGCCTCCATCATGCACTATGCATAAGTCCCTGGCATACAAACTCGCCCCTCCATGGCGCTACACCCCAAGCCAGGTATTTTGACCGCCATCTCAAAAAGTCTTTCCTTGCAGTTGATGGCGGTATGGAGTTCAGGTCAGGGGATTGCTCGCTTCATCTCGCGTCGTGGCACCCACTGCACTTCTTACAACTGGGGGGGGGGTGTGGCCCTTAACCCTAAACCTCATGCAAACCCTAAACTGTGATCCGAGGCTCAGCAAGAGTTGCAGTTCCCCTTTGGCATAGGCATCAAAAAAATGATAAGGATCAAAAAACATTTACCTAAGGATCAAAGAAAAATTACCTAAGGATCAAAAAAAAATTGCCCTCTGCGCCCAAG